CTAGTGCATTCAAGGTGAGGACTTTAACCACTATGCTATTGCGCCAGGCCAAAAATAAATGAATCTTTAAAAACAACAACTTTATTTCAAAAAGAAACAGTTGTTTAACTCATGAGAAGGTAGAGAAATGGGCAATCCCTCTATGGAGGACAAGGTACTAAGAGACCCTCATCTGACTCAATGTTTGAGGAGAACTTTCGAACTCAGGGAACACAGCAAGCTCAATGTAACCTGCACACATGACTGGCCCCTTGGCCATCCGGTTGGTGGCTTCTATGTCATCTGGGGTGCCAGGCCTAAGACTTGAGTGACCTGAGGAGAAACAGCTTAGGCCTACTGGCCTCCAGAGTCCTCCATGGACAAAGCCCTGCAGCCTGCTCTTGGTCCTCATCTGGACTCCTGTCATCTCTGAGCCCTAGGGAAAGCTTCCAAGGAGCGAGAGCTACTGTCCAACCCCAGACAGGGAAGCCCAAACTCCTCACGTGCTGCACATCTGGTCACACGTCCGGCCACTGGCGACTCCTTCTTGTCCGCCACACTTCAGGCCACTCGTCCCTCTGGGTCATCACCCAGGTGTCACTCAAAAGGCACCCTCCCCCCAAGGCTAGCTGATGCCATCCTGGTAATCCTCTGGTTGGCCCCAGCCTTCATTTTTACAAAATCTACTATCTAATAACCAGAGAGAGACTTTCCATCTGCTGGTTCATTCTCCAAATGTCTGAGCAGCCAGAGCTGGGCCAGGCCAAAGCCAGGAGCCTGGGAATCGTGCCTGCTCTCCCACTTGGGGGCCATCATCTGCTGCTTCCCAGGAAACTGGACCAGAAGCAGAGCCGGGCCCCAAACAGACTCCCACATGGCAACAGCATCCCAAGTGGCACCTTTCTTTTTCATTTGTTTTACTTAAAAGTCAAGAATTACTGAGAGAGAGAGGGAGAGACAGAGAAAGAGACAGAGAATTTTTTATCTGCGGGTTGGCTGCCATGGCCAGAGCTAGGCTGGTCCAAAGTCAGGAGCCTTGTCCAGGGCCCCCATATGGGCACAGGGGCCTAAGGATCTGGGCCAGCCCCTGCTGCTTTACTAGGCCACTGCATCAGAAGTAGAACAGCTGAGGCTAGAAACCATGCCCATATGGGATGCCGGCACTTGCAGGAAGAAGATGAGCCTGAATGCCACCATGCCAGCCACAGTCTGCCTCATTGTACATGCAGCAGTGTGTGCGACAGCTCACCTACTTCCTGTCTGCCCCACTTGGAGAGAAGCTTCGTTAACTGATGGCACTCGAATTTTTTTTTTTTGGCTGTGCCCCCAGCATCCCCAACAGTGTTTGGCATCCAGAGTCCTCAAAAAGTCCTTGGATTTGATAAATACCTACTGAGTGAGTGCCTGGACTCTAGCAACAGGCAACAACAACACACTGCTCCCACAGGCATAAGCACTGGTGGGGAAGACAACCACTGCTTCAATGAAACACATGCTAGGTGCCAGGTGCTGCTCTAAGTATCCTGGCAGGTAAGAATTACTCTGGCAGGAAATGGTTACTTGGCAGGTAATGGCTACTCCAGCAGGTAATGGTTACTTGGCAGGTAATGGTTACTCTGGCAGGTGGTAGTTACTCTGCAGGTAATGGTTACTCTGGCAAGTAGGGGTTATCATGGCAGGTAATGGTTACTCTGGCAGAAAATGGTTACTCTGGCAGGTAATGGCTACTCTGGCAAGTAATGGTTACTCTGGCAGGTAGTGGTTACTCTGGCAGGTAATGGTTACTCTGGCAGGTAGTGGTTACTCTGGCAGGTAATGGTTACTCTAGCAGGTAGTGGTTACTCTGGCAGGTAATGGTTACTCTGGCAGGTAATGGTTACTCCAGCAGGTAATGGTTACTCTGGCGGGTAATAGTTACTCTGGCAGGTAGCAGTTACTCTGGCAGGTAGCGGTTACTCTGGCAGGTAATGGTTACTCTAGCAGGTAGTGGTTACTCTGGCAGGTAATGGTTACTCTAGCAGGTAATGGCTACTCTGGCAGGTAGTGGTTACTCTGGCAGGTAGTGGTTACTCTGGCAGGTAGTGGTTACTCTCACTCTTCCAGCAGCACTGTGAGGAAGCACTGTTCTGTCATGGATGGGGAAATAAACATGAGAGGTTAAGGCCCCCAATGAAGCTCACAAAGTTAACAACAGCATTGCCAAATGCAAACCCAGACACTCTTGGCACAAAGTTTGGGCTCTAACGAAGAGCTATACCTCCTATTTGCTGAGTGCTGAATAACTCCTTGGCCAGCACCCTTTGCATCTGTTCCCTGAATGCAGGGAAGAAGAGGGGGCAGCCCCAGCAAGGCACAACCACCCTCCACCTTGAGAAACTGAGACTCCACAGCTGACCCCCAAGTTGGACCCTGCAGGGGAGTACGCAAAGGAGTGAGGTCTGAGGGAGAAACAGAGCCTGGGCCAGGACCCCTTGTTTCCAGATGAAGGTACAGTGAGAGCTGCAGGCAAGCCAGCCAGTATGCGGTGACAGAAACACTGTGCAGGCCGGGGCCTGGCCACTGCAAGAAACCCAAGATGAACCCAGGGACGACTCAGCCTCTAAGAGCTCAGACTCCTGCACAGACACAGGGGACAGAAACAGAGGTGGGAGACGTATGCACTGTAATAGGACTTCCGAAGAATCATCCATGTCTGCCCACCTCCAGAGGAGGGGCCTGACAACACCCATGGGAGCACTACAGAAATCAAGTTTCATTCTGTGTCATGGCTCAACTTGACGGCCACTGAATTGTTCTCCATCTCCTTTGAGGCCAAATTCAATCCTGTGATCCTCGTGGGCATTTTGGGGTGTAGACAGGGCACTAGCACCTCTGTTTAGACACTGAAGGAACCGTCCGCCATGCTCTGCCCGCCTCGGTCCCTGTCAGATTGTTAAACCCACAGATCTCTTGGACTGCAATTGCGGAGCACACATTTACAAGGCACACACTGCTCTGAGGTAAGCCACGGGGCTAACCACGAGACTGTGAGCTCAGACAGGCAGCCCACCTGCTTCCCATCCCACTCCGAGACCCTTCCACATTCTGAGTCACAAGAGGCTGAAGGAGGTTTGCTGAACTAAACCTGAGCGTGGAAACCCTAGGCTAGACACAGAGGTCCCACTTGGGTGTTCCCCAAAGGTTAGCTTTACAGCTCTCAGCCTCCCCTGCGAGAGCAAACGAACCCCACGGCCTCCCCTGTGCCCTGGCCCCCGAAGCCACCACCGTGTCCTGTTGGGCAGCACTGGACATCTCCCTATGATCTCCGCCTCTACTTTCCTCCGCCCAGTCTGCATGCAGCAGCCACCACAACCTTCCAAAACTTGAACCAGATCTTATCACACCTCTACTCAAACCACTCCCGTGGCTTCCACCCGCACTCGGAATAAAAGCCAAGCTCTTCATCACAACCTACACAATCCTTTTTTTTTTTGTCTACAAATGTTTGAAAATTTTTGAATGCTTAATTTTTTTCATCCATTTGAAAGCCAGAGTGAAAGAGACAGAGGAAGGACAAATCACCCCTCCACTAGTTCACACCATCAGTGTCCCCCAAGGCCAGGTCAAAACTGGGAGGCAGGAACCTGGACATGGGAGGCAGGGGCCCAAGAACTGACGTGGTCATCTGCTTCCCCCCAGTTTGCATTAGCAGGAAACTGGATTGGAAGTGGAGTAGCCAGGCTCTGAACCAGCCCAACTACATGGGGTGTGGGTGTGCCAGCCAAGCGGCTTACCGCAGTGCCCCACAACGCCCACCCTATGGTCATGTTCAGGCCCGCACCTGCCTTCCCAAGCACAGCGCACTACTGGAACCACCCACTGTGCATTGTCTGTCCTTCCCGTTTAGGAAGTCGCCTGCAGGTGGCCAGAGCCCTGGGCTGTCCATCTTCCTTGCTGCTGTGGCTTCCGTCCCTGGACCACTCCTGGCGCTCACTACCGCAGCAATGGAGGTAGCTTCAAGGACCGCTCTAAGTCCACCAGGAAACCCTGCATGACGCACTGGCCTTCGACAGCTGGCACCACACGACTCCAAGTGCTGATTTAAATCGGTGCAAGCTGTCGGTATCTTGGCCACGCTAGTGGCACAAGAGATCAGTTACCAGCCAGGGTCTGAAGCCAGGGACCAGAGCCCAGCGGTTGTAGCAGGGAGCAAGGAGCCAAGGCGCTTGGGAACAGAACCTCAGGGCCAACGCTGAGCCTGCCTCCAAGTCCCTGTCTTCCACATCCCAGAGCTGGCCAGGCCTGCTTTCTCGAAGTTCTCTGAGTGACAGGACACAAAACAATTAGCTAGCAGCCGCAGCACACTCCCATAAGAAGTGCTACTTCTCATCCACACCAACCAGGTCCCCTTGGCCTCCCCAGGGGCTAACCTGACAAGTTCTGCACCCCAAAGACACGTGGAGGGGGCGGGGGGGAAGGTGTGGGGCCTAGCAGAGCCTGGGCATCCAGACACGCGGGTCTCAGTCAACCAGCTTCCCAGAAAGGGAAAGTGGCTGGTGCCAGGGTGATGGAAAAAAGGCGAGAAGTGCAGTTCTGGGCTCCAAGTGGTTAATTATGCAGGTTCATGTACACACGCCCCCGGGCCGGCCTTCCAGGAACACTCAGCAGAGAGGGCTGGCACTGGGGGGGCTCCGCAATCGGACTTAGAGGGGAGCACGGCTCGGGGCCAGAGCCCGGCCGCGGCGAGTTTGGGAAGACCTGGATGCAGTGAGCAGCGCGCAGGTGAGGGCTAGCAGGGCGGCCAGGCGATGACACACATCCCCGAGGACGCGGAGGGGTGAGCAACAGGGTGGGGGGCTCGGACACCTGTGGAGGCGACCCTCGGGCGGACGCCCCGGCGCCCGGGCCAGGCCGGTGGGTCCGAGCGGGGTCGGGGGCGCCCTGCGCGGCCCCTCCCCAGGAGACAAAGGGCCGGCGGCTGCCCTGAGCCCCGGCGCGGCGCGGGCCCCGGCGCTGCGAGCGCCGGCCGGCCTCGCGCTTACCTGGGCCGCCCGACCCGGCCGGGCCGGCGGCGGCTGCGGGTCCGGAGCGCGGCGCGCGGCGGCCTGTTCCGGGGCGCGCTCAGCCCGAGCAGCCGCGGCGGCAGCGGCGTTCGCAGCAGCAGCAGCAGCAGCGGCAGCGGCAGCAGCGGGAGCGGCCGCCTCAGCCTCCGCCTCCCGCTCCGTGAGTCACCGCGGCGGGGAGGGAGGGAGGCGCCAGGCCGCCGGAGGAGGGCCCGGCGGAGGGGGCGGCATCGGGATCGGCGCGGGCGACCGAAGCTGAGGCGACGGCTACGCCCCGGAGGGAGGCAGGCCGCGGTGGGCCGGGCGCCGGGGCGGGGCCGGCGGTGGGGCGGGGCCGGGGTGCGCCTTCGCATTGGCTAACTCGGTCTGAGAGGCGGGGACTGTGCGGCGAGGGGCGGGCCTGAGCGGCGCTTGGGAGACACTGATTGGGCTTCTTGGGGCGTGGGCGGGACCAGGAGGTGGGCGGGCCGAGCGAAGAGGCCGAGCTGCCGAGTCCGCGCCGAGAGTCTCGGGGAGGAGCGGGCGTGGTGGGTCGGGCGGCTGCCTGAGGGAGTGCGGACGGAGCGGGCGCGGCGGTCGGCGACCCTCCTTGGCCTTTGCCGCTCCGGGACCCTGGTGATACCGTGCAGAAAATGGCCTCTCAGGCGCACCAGTGTGTGTGCAGCAGCGGGAGCGTTAGCCTGCGGCTGCCGAGCGGCTCAGGCGTGGGGCGTGGGCTCCTCGCTGCGTCTCGGCCCGAGGTCCCTGGCCTCGAGGGGCAGTGTCCCGGGGGGCCTCGAGGGGCAATGTCCCGGGGTCCTCGAGGGGCAGTGTCCCGGGGTCCTCGAGGGGCAGTGTCCAGGGGGACCGAGCGCGTTTCTGGGTGCGGGGGTCAGTGTATGATATGCTTGAGCCGAGGCTGTCCCCAGGACGGGCGCGAGTGTCCCCTGACATCCGCTTTCCTTTCAAGGGTCACTGTCTCTTAAGCGTGGCCTCCTTTTCCTCATTGCCACTTTTCCGGTTACATAAGGTGGCCCCACCCCATTGTCCCCAACCTTTGTACCCCCTTTCTAACCTACATTTTTCTTCCCCATCCTTTTGCAAGACTAGGGCATAACTTTTTTTTTTTTCTGTTTATGTTCTGAAATGCCATGTTCCTGTTCAAATAACTGTATTCGAGTATTGGGGACTGGGGAGGTTGTTAACTCTAAAGACGTGTCAGCCCTGTCAGTGTTCCGATCTGTGCTCAAGGCAGCCCCTGCCATCCTGCCAAGGTGGGCAAGGCCCGTGCACAGCTCAGGGTCACAGTACTGTCTGTAAATGTGGTGTTTAAGCAAATTAAAACTGAATATGTTGTTTGGTTTTCAAGATGTGATTTTTTTTTTCGAAATTTAGGTCTGATGTCACGGCTAGTAGATTAAGCACCTGCCTGCGATGCAGGCATCCCATCATGGCAGCTCCAAGTGGACTAATCCTCTACCCTGTGGCAACAGTATCCCATATGGACACCATATGAGTCCCTTCCAGCTCCTTGCTTCTGGCCTGGGAAAGCAGTAGATGGCCTAAGTCCTTGATCTTTTGCCCGCATGTGGGTGCCTGGAAGAAGCTCCTGGCTCCTGGCTTCAGATTGGCTCAGCTCCAGCTGTTGCAGCCATTTGGGCAGTGAGCCAGCAGATCTTTTTGTCTTTCTTCTCTGTAAATCTCTTTCTAATAAAAATGAGTAACTCTTTATTTAAAAAAAAAAAAAAAAGGTAGTAAGTTCAGCACTCCTAGTCCCTGAGCTGCCCCATCACTTCTGAGTTAGGAAACCGCATTTGTAGGCAGCAGTGTTAGGTCGGGATTCAGGCAGGCTCTATGCATCTGTGCACTTTCAGGGATGGGGCACCTTTGCCAGCATCTCTGCCCACCCTGGCCCCAAGTGCTTTGCTGAGGAGGCCGCTGGTTGCGATTTCCGAGGCCCCCCTGCCAGACAAACGGGGTGCAAACATGGCAGGCCAGACATCGGCATCTTGGCCCAGGGTGGAGTGGTTCACACACTGCTGTATTGGCGGGACTGTTGGCCACCAAGCAGGATGTGACCCACACTGAGCCCAGCGTCTCTCCCAGGGGTCTTCCAAATCGGAAATGAAGGGAATGCTCTTCCCCATTAGATCAAGCCCTGTAACCGGGTGACCCCAGAGGGCTGTTGTTGCGCTGCAGTGGGTTAGCTGTGGCTTTAGAACTTGCAGCCCTTTTCAAAGTGTCTGTTGGTGTCCCTGAGCCTGCTTTCGATTGAGCTCCCTGCCGATGCGCCAAGGAAGACAGTGGAAGAAGAGCCAGTGCTTGGGCCCCTGCCACCCGTGTGGGAGGCCCAGCTGGAGCTCTCGGCTCCTGGATGTAACCAGCGGGGAAGAGAGCCAGTGCATGGTTCTGTGTGTCACTTTGCCTCTCAAAGAATTATTTTTTAAAAATGTGGCCTCCACCACCCGGGAGACTCGGAACAGGCCTCTGACTCCTGGCTTTTGGATTGTCTTAGCTCCAACTGTTGCAGCCATCTGGGGAGTGAATCAGTGAATGGAAGATTTTTCTCTCTGTCTCTCCTTCTCTCTGTAAATCTGATTTGCTGTTCCAATAAAAATAAATAATAATAATAGAGTGGAAAAATAAAAGTGTGGCCTCCAGAGTTCGACCTGCCCTCCACACTCCCAGAACTCGCTGCGGGAAATTGTCACAGACCTGTCCCTTCCAAGAGACCACAGCACCTTGAGACCCAGGATGAACACAGCCACGTGACCGGGATCCGCAGTCTGCCACCCAGCAGAAGCCACTGGAGTCTCCCTTGGCCAGATCACCTTGCTCAGGAGACTCAGAACAGGACCCTGAGGTTCTTTTTAGCAGAGCCACCTCTGAGAGCCGCCCTCCTCCTTCTGGCAACCCCGGGGGAAGCACCCTGGCTGCTGGCAGTGGATTCGTTCAGTGTGGATCGAGTTGGGACAGCCGTTTTCAGCTCCCGCCTGAGCAGCCTAAGAGCTCAGAGACTTCAGCCAGGATCACTGTTCTGAGGGGTTCTTGGTGGGGAAGATGAGGCTCAGAGCCTGGGCCCAGGGCAGGGATTGAGAGATGAGCTTTGGGAGCTGGGTCACGTCATCTGGTGGTGCCAGGTCTGTTGGGCCAGGGAACAGGAGAAAGAGTTCGCTCTCCCATCTGGGTCTCTGGGAAAGGAAGTACTGTTCCCTGCATGTGTGGGTATTCTCATGAGCTGTATTCTAACTTTAATCATGCTGTTAATCAACTAAGATAATGTAATTCTCTTAGACTGTTTAGGTATGTAAATTATCATGTATTGCAATGACTGCTCTTCAATAAAGTTTTGATGATGTCCCCCGCACCCTCCCAAAAGTGTGGCCTCTAGAATGGGAGCATGCATATATATGATCCACCAACTGTCTGGAAAATCCAGAGCGAGACAGTGTTACTGAACAAGAAATGAAAGCCTGGAGGGTGAAGAATGGAGAAAGGGAGAGAAGAGAAGGGGGAAAAAGAGACTCCCAATTCAGTGTGTGCTCCCCAGATTCATGCCGTGAATGCCAGCTTTGCTCACACCATTTCACACTTCACACACTGATGGGGTTGCCCGTTTGCCTCCCCCCCTGGTGTCACTCATTAGTAACTGGAACCATTGTCCAACCAGTTGCTTACACTAGAAACTTGGATGACCCTTGACATCACTATTATTCATTTCCAGTCCCTGGGTATACCCCCAAAGTGCAACCTGAACCCCCTCTCTTCCGACAACCCACACCTCTTCCCGTGAAGTCCCCAGGGAGCCTCACACTCACACTCTCCCTTCCACGTCCTGCCTGAAGCCCACACACAACTACATGTTCCTAAAACTTACCAGCTGTGTGGCTTGGTACAGTAACTCAATAGACTAATTCTCCACCTGCAAGTGCCAGCATCACGTGTGGCTGCCAGTTCATATTCTAGCTGTATCGCTTCTAGTCCAACTCCCTGCTCATGGCCTAGAAAAACATTGGAGAATGACACAAGTGTTCGGGTCCCCGCATGGGAGACTAGAAGAAGCTCCTGGCTTTGAATTATCCAGCTCCAGCCATTGAGACCAACTAGGGAGTGAATCAGCAGATGGAATGTCTCTCTGCCTCTCCTTCTCTCTGTAAATCTGCCTAATAAATATAAATAAATCTTAAAACAAAACAAACAAAAAAATGCCTCCCGGGTGTGCATAGACAGGAAGCCACAGCTGGGAACAGAGCCAGGACTTGGGTCCAGGCCCCTGGGGTGGGACGCCTGGGTCCCAGGCACATCGTCACAGCTGTGTCAACCGCCAACCCCGCCAATAATCTTTTCTATTTCTTTTTGAAGATGTATATATTTTTATTGGAAAGGCAGATATACAAATAGGAGGAGAGATGGAGAGGAAGATCTTCCATCCATTGATTCACTCCCCAAGCAGCTGCAACAGCTGGAGCTGCGCTGATCCAAAGCCAGGAGCCTGGAGCTTCCCTGGGTGTGCCATATGGGTTCAGTGTCCCAAGGATTTGGGCCATCCTTGGCTGCTTGCCCATGTCATAAGCAGGGAGCTGGATGGGAAGCAGGGTTGCAGGGATTAGAACTGGCACCCAGGGCCCGGCGCAGTGGCGCAAGTGGTTAAAGCCCTCGCCTTGCACGCCCGGGATCCCATATGGGTGCCGGTTCTAATCCCGGCAGCCCCGCTTCCCTTCCAGCTCCCTGCCTGTGGCCTGGGAAAGCAGTCGAGGACAGCCCAAAGCTTTGGGACCCTGCACCCGCGTGGGAGACCCGGAAGAGGCTCCTGGCTTCAGATCGGCATAGCACCAGGCCGTTGCGCTCACTTGGGAAGTGAATCATTGGATGGAAGATCTTCCTCTCTGTCTCTCCTCTCTCTTATATCCGCCTTTCCAATAAGAAAATAATAAAAAAAAATCAATCTTTAAAAATAAATAAATAAAAAAAATAATAATAATAAAAAAAGAACTGGCACCCATGTGGGATCCCAGCATGCCAAAGATAAGGCCTTTAGCCACTAGGCTACCACATGGAGCCCCAGCCTGATTTTTTTAAAGATTAATTTATTT